AATAACATAGCCTACAATTTTGTGCAGACTACACTTTTATTTGTTAGCCTATGTCTTTTTTTCAGTAGAGGAAATGTAAATGTGAGATTCTGGAAACGAGATCTAAATTTAGCGGGAACGGTCGGGTCGGGAAGAAAATTATTCTAAGCGGACAGCGGGTGAACAAAGAGTGAATATATAGCGGGAGCGGGTGGATGCGGAATAGAACCTTGCGGGAGCGGGACTAAAAAAATAGTCCCGCGCAGACCTCTACACTATGGCACACAGTGTGCTCTGGTTAATTGTGTTTCAAATGGAATACTAATATACTACATATTACACACTGTATAATGCATATTATTTAACATCTAATGTAAAACTGAAAATATTATGCAGAAAAAATGTTTCAAATTACATTGTTCAAGCAATATTATTATTGAATATTAATTCAGTAATTGGTGTCTAGTTAATAAAAAAATGCCCTTTTAGTCTAATTTAGTGCTCTTGGCACTCCAGTCAAATAAAACCCAAACTTTTGAACAGTATTTGAGGTACCGTGCCCTTCAGAACACACTGAATCCTACATTAGTCATGAGTAAAGGAACAGAGAGCTGCTTTGTGGGTAAATATGTGTGATTGTTGAGTCTGAAATGTTTTCACAGCAATTACACTCTGATTTAGTTTGAAGAGGTGCAAACACGAACATGTCAACCTTATGTTGCATCTCACACTCCTGAGTTTGTATCAAGTCAATATGTGTTGCCGCCTCACTGTAGACTTATGATTCTCTGGATGTGCCTCAACATGCGAGAAGCATCGATTAGTCATGGTATTCCACAGGGCAGTCAGGAGAGGAAGGATCAGAGACTGATTACAAAGACATCATGTCTTGACGCAAATATAAATGTGGCTCTGTGTGGTCAGAAGTTTTGTTCCGTAAGCAGATAGCTCTTGCCTTTTTTCCTGTTGGTTTTGCAGCTCATTGCTCACGGGTCGTCTGGTCGGCGTTTGATATTTTTGTCAATAAATCAGAGCAAAGCTTTCGGCGTAAAGCATGTTCTCTGAGCCATAGTAAATACATATTTATTTTAAAAAGCCGCAGCTGAAATAGTTTGATTTCTTAGCTGGCAGGTCTGCTGCGCTCAATTGGTTTTGCAGCTCATTGCTCACGGGTCGTCTGGTCGGCGTTTGATATTTTTTGTCAATAAATCAGAGCAAAGCTTTCGGCGTAAAGCATGTTCTCTGAGCCATAGTAAATACATATTTATTTTAAAAAGCCGCAGCTGAAATAGTTTGATTTCTTAGCTGGCAGGTCTGCTGCGCTCATGTTTGATTTGTTCTGGGAGAAGGTCACAGCGTTATATATTTACATTGCTCTATTTATTTATTTATCTATCTATCTATCATTCCTTCTATTCTATTCCTAGTTATTAAAAGCAAAGCAGCATTGTTTGTTCATGTACATCAAGGTCGATGCGGAGCACTTCTGAGAATTGTTTTCTGACGTCAGTTGCATGAAGTCTGACAAGTTTCCAGTTAAATGAAATATAAAAAAAATAAGAATAAATCAAAATTTTAACATTTTCTGAAGAAAATGTGAGCGGAGCAAAAATCACTACCCGTGTATGTTTGTGTGTTCTGTGTATTTTTAACATGTTGATAGGGTGGTTGCTAGGTGATTGCTTCCTGTTTTAAGCCAAAAGAGCCAAGTTTGGGCCAGTTGCATAAACTTAACCTCTATTTTAAGACTGAACTAACCAGCTAGCAGTTAGCCAAGCAGTAATCAGTTTTATGTTTCTGATTCACATTAGACCAATCTATAGCATGTGTATTATTTGTTGTTTTATTTCTATTATTTATTTGATTATTTTTGACATTTTAATTTTACAATGCATAAATTATCACTTACAATGCGCTTATCATCTCACACACCTCTCCTACACAACCTACACAATTTTAGCTATCATTCATATCTGCCAAATACACGTTTAATACTGAAGGTTAGGGGAGGGATATGAAAAATCCACAACCTGTGTATGAACAGCCACCACTAATAAAAACCTGTTTGAGGACAGCGAGAGAATCTGTTTAGTTTGTGCTGTTGCAGCTCTATTGCAAAGTCAGATATTTAGCCAGGTTAGCATTTCAGTCAGACGCTATCAACATCTCCTCACATGATCCAGACAGGCTTCTGCAAGAGCGCCATAATCACATCTGCTCTTGCTGCCTTTTTGGAAACGCTTTTTAATGTGTTGATAGCATCTTGCATGTGTTGGATAATGATAAGGCCGCAGGTAAGAATTCAAACCAGCTTCTCTTTTACATCCTCTTCCCTTTCACTTTCTTCTTGGCCTTAATATAGCAGTATTCACTCGTGAATGTGGAGGTTTCATCTTTTAGAATCCCATTAACTGAATGTATCCTGTTGAATACTCTTGACTATTTAATTTGAATGATTTTCTACAGTTTTCAGGCTTTTTAAAAAATAAACACAAGCATGCCGAGACAAATACTGGTAGTGTTTGTGTTATTCTGTCTGGAATAGGCTGAGTCTGGCTCTTTAAGAATTCCTTTTGGGAAGGCAAGAAGGAAGGAAGGTTGCTGTATCCTTGAACATTAAAGCTCTGATCCAGTACCTGAGCAGACTCTGTGTGTCAGAGAACTTGTTAAGAGATGGTTAAAGACCATCTTTGTTTATTCTTTCATCTGTTCCAGTAGACTGTCAGTTCCACCACCCAAATACTTTTACACAGTTCTACAAAAATAGTTTAAGATTTTGGATGCTTATATATCTCATACATATCTCCTACTCAAGTCACATCATTTTCACACCCTTATGGAACAAAAGTATATGGGAATAAACTTCAAAATATAATGTGATATATTACATAATATATTTCCATATATGGGAAACTAGTGCTTATATTTTTCAATATACTGCAATATGCATTGACCATGTATGGCTATATATTGATACATACAGTAATATTCATTACATGTAATATTCATAAAGTTTTATCCTTTATTGTGCACATGCATGTTCCGTATGTACACCCATATATGCACACATTCACAGAATGAGTTACAGCAGATTTCTAGTTCCCAGCATGCTTTGCTTCTGGCTGTTAAAGGAGAGTAAATCTTAGTGTTATTTTGTAAGTGTTATTTCATGTGTTTTGCTCAATATTAATATAGGGGGAGATCTGTTAGTGTTTAAAGTTCTATTATTTTGGGAATTTAAAAGGGTTTCTGGTATGTCTGAGGTTTTGGGGTTACCGTATATATACACACATTCACAGAATGAGTTACAGCAGATTTCTAGTTCCCAGCATGCTTTGCTTCTGGCTGTTAAAGGAGAGTAAATCTTAAAGTGTTATTTTATAAGTGTTATTTCATGTGTTTTGCTCAATATTAATATAGGGGGAGATCTGTTAGTGTTTAAAGTTCTATTATTTTGGGAATTTAAAAGGGTTTCTGGTATGTCTGAGGTTTTGGGGTTACCGTTGTGCTGAAGAATAGAGCCTGTGGTTAGGTTAGATAGAGCCTGTGTATGCCTAACACCAATAAGACTATATATTACTTTTGATTACTTTATTTAAAAAGTAATGGCTGTGCACTCTTCATCACGCTGATAGTCTCTTTGCTAGATACTTTAGTACATGCAAGTGTGCTTGTGCTGTTGTTAACTAGCTATATATGACAATATGAGCTATATATAATGTTGTACATTATTATAAAATATAAGAAATATATTATATATGTCTATATATGCGTGTATATACTGCATGAGTAAATATGTACAATATATTTATACACATACAGTACCATACCTTATCACATGTAGATCTATATGTTACAAAGTGTATTACTGAATAAAAAATTACATATATTATAATATATAATTAAATATATTGAAAAAAATATATTTAAATATATAAAATTAAATATATTGTTAAAAATGTATGAAAGTGGCAATTCCTTATCTATTATTCAATATATTTATATATATTAAAACAAAATATTATTCTGTATATTTTCAATACACTGTGAAATCATTTAATATATTGAAGGAAGTATATTTTCTTTGCATAAGGGCTTTTCAGGAAAATACACATTTAATACTGAGGGTTAGGTGTGATAAAAAAAATCCATAACTTGTGTATGAACAACCACCTCTAATAAAAACCTGTTTGAGGAGAGCGAGAGAATCTGTTTTGTTTGTTTGTACACACACACACACACACACAGACACACACACGTTGGTGTATGTGGTTTGCGGGCACTCTCCATAGGTGTAATGGTTTTTAAACTGTACAAACTGTATTTTCTATATCATTACCCTAAACCTACCCATCACAGAAAACTTTCTGCATTTTTTGACTTTCAAAAAAAACAGTTTAGTATGTTTTTAAGCTATTTTGTTTAGGAGGACACAGGAAGTGTCCTCATAAACCATGTTCACGTTGTAATACCTAACCTGAACACACACACATATACATTACCGTTCAAAAGTTATTTTGTTAAATATTCTTACAGTTTTAAATATTTTATATATATATTAATATATTTAAAAATGTTATTTATTCCTTTTGATGGCAAAGCTTAATTTTCAGCAGCCATTACTCCAGTTTTCAGTGTCACAGGATTCTTCAAAAATCATTCTAATGTGCTGATTTGGAGCTAAATTTGATCAATTTAATTCATCCTTGCTGGATAAAAGTGTCAATTATCAAAAAATACCCTAAACGTTTGAATTTTTATAAAGTTTATTTATTATTTAATAAAAAGCATTGTTATAGCAAGATGTCACTGGTGTTGACATTTATTCCAACAATTTTTATTTACTGTTGCAGGCGGACCATCTCAGAGGATGGCACCCTCAGGATTGCCAATGTTACCAAATCCGACGCAGGGAGGTACACTTGTGTCGCCAAAAACCCCTTTGGTACATCCAGCAGTTCTGGGACTTTAGTGGTCAAAGGTAAAGCACCTTTCACATTTCACAAACAGCACATTTCTCTTGCTTCTAAGCGGATGCCTTAAACCGGATGAGAACCAGTGGAAAAACAGTGAGCAACCCAAGCATGAAATTGATAATGAAATATATAGTTGTTTTATGTTCCTGCCGGTTTGACAGAGGTATAACTCATCCAAGCTTTTGTCACGTGTGAGTTATTGGTCCAGCCGCTGGTGTGAAAACAAAATCCGTAGCCATCCACAGCACCGGGAACGGACTTGATCCTTGTCACCCCAGTCGCTTTCTGCATGTTTAATTAAAAATATGCTGCTGTTGCAATTTTTTTTTTCTCAATTTACTCTTTTAATAACTTATGGCATTACATATGCATGTTTTTTGGACACTTTGATGGCTTCAAGTAGGGTTATTCAAATTCGGGACTGAATAAAACAAAATTCTAATTTAAATTGACATGGTCAAGTTAAATTTTAAAATGAGGCAGATTCCCTTTTGTGATAGCTAGTCAGTGAATCAACAAGTCCCTGCTGAATAAAACATACAAATTTTAGCTGTTTTAAGGTGCTTTAAGCTGGTCTAGCTGCTTTCCCAGGCTGGTTTTCAGTTGGTTTAGCTGGTTGGCCATCTAGTCTCCAAACCTGACAGGCTGAAAAGTGCACAAAACTCTTATGAATTAATGCATAACTGAAGATCTTCAACACTTCTGTCTTGGTCCTTTCTTTCCTTTATCTCTCTTTTTTTGACAGAACCGACCAAGATTACAGTCCCTCCTTTGAGTATGGATGCCACAGTGGGGGAGAGCATTGTCTTGCCGTGTGAAGTATCTAAAGACTCCACTCTACACCCCGTCTTCAAGTGGTTCTTCAACGGAAAGCTCATTGATTTCAGTAGACACGATCACTTCGGGATGATTGGAGGGGTGCGTTTCTGTCAGTCATTTTAATTCAAAGCTTCAAATTCTGTATTCCTGAAATACTGTAGCCTTGGGTTCCTCTTTGAAATCACTCAGAGTAGAGGAATGCGAGTAAAGAATGATTGGGATCCCTTGGTGTTTTGAACTTTTTTTTTTTTTTTTGCTTAGCTAGTAATGGGGGGAACTTGAGTACAAGGGCACCTGGCTGCTCTCTGAACACAGAGGCACAAATCTGTCTGATTACAGGATTTACATCGCACTCCGTTTAACACACAGTGAACCTCAAATAGCTATCCACAGGACCCAATCTCTCACTGTGTAGATCATCCACAGAGCTTTTAAGTTGCCAAGTATTGCTTTTGAGAACCTGGAGAGACCGATGAGCAAATGCACGAATGGCGGGCTCTCACTAACAGTAGAAAGACTGCTGGTCCAAGCGAGTTAAAAGAACCCTATCTGAACTGAAGGGCCAATCAAATATCACAGCTTTTTGCTACTGCCATTTGTTTCTTGATATTTTCCAAATGTGATGTAACTACAGAAATGAAAATATACTTGATTTTAGAGACTTTAAGTACCACAGCATTACCATAAAAATATACACTACCGTTCAAATATTTTTTTTTTTAGTGATGCATTCTATTGATCAAAAGTGACAATTAGAATTTTACAAATTTGTTTCAAATAAATGTTCTTTTCAACTTTCTATTCACTAAAGAATCCTGAAAAAAAAAAGTTTCCACCGAAATATTAAGAAGCACAACCGTTTTCATTGGAAATAATAACAAATGCTTCTTGAGCATTAAATCATATTAGAATGATTTCTGTTTCTGTTTTGCCATCAAAGCATAAATTGCATTTTAAAATATATTTAAATAGAAAATGATTATTTTAAATTGCAATAATATTTCACAATATTACTGGTTTTACTGTATTTTTAATCAAACAAATGCACCCTTGGTGAGCATAAGAGACTTCTTTCAAAAACATTTACATAGTAGTGTACCATATAGGCTACTATTTGTAATTGTCTGTTCAATTATTTACTCATTTGCAAAATAATGTTTTTGATAATGTCAGACTCTGTTCCATGTCTCGTGTTGTGTTTTCCTCCCCCACGTGCTCCAGTATTATTATTATGCCCATATTTGTTTTTTCCTGTTCCTGTCCGTATTTAGTTCTATTGGTTCCAGCTGGGTTTAATTAGTTACTCGACCCCATTCCTGCCAAGATGCCTGCAAACCTCTCCAAGTATTTTTTTGGGGGGGTAGTAGGGCTTCAGCCGTAGAGGCAGGGGCTGGGGCCGTGGCCTCAGAGTCTGCTCTGCCATGGCCTCTTGGACTGTCTGATCCGCCATGGCCTCCTGAGTTCCCTACTCCGCCATGGCCTCCTGGACTGTCTGATCCGCCATGGCGCCCCGAACGGGTATCGCTCACGTGTCTGTCCTGAGGGACCTCCAGAGTGCCCACCCCCCCTCCCTGTTGGATGTTGTGTGGCGCGAGGATGCGCCATCCGGGAGGGGAGAGTAATGTCAGACTCTGTTCCATGTCTCGTGTTGTGTTTTCCTCCCCCACGTGCTCCAGTATTATTATTATGCCCATATTTGTTTTTTCCTGTTCCTGTCCGTATTTAGTTCTATTGGTTCCAGCTGGTTTTAATAAGTTAATGTGTATTTAAAGTGTGTTCTGCCCCTCGTTTCCCGTCCGCTGTTAAATATAATTTCGTGTTCTGTGTTTCCCGTGTTCCTGTATTCCCAGCTTTGTTTTCATTAAAGACATTGGAATTTACTTTACTCCTCTTCTCCTCGCTCCTTCATTCCCATGCTCCCAGTGTGAATCGTGAAAGATAATGTTAATTTGGTATAATTTCTTTCAAATATACCACAGTAATTATATGGTTTATTTTGAAGTAGTAAACAATAGCATTGACATTCCATAATATATGAATGTAATAATCATATGGATGGATTGATAGACTTCTTTCTCCACTTATTTTTTTTACATAATACTCTTTTTTTTTTATTTTTTTTATAGGGCTCTTCTGGGGATCTTATGATCAGGAACGTGCAGCTGAAACACTCTGGGAAGTACGTCTGCATGGTGCATACAGCAGTGGACAGTGTGTCTGCAGCGGCAGACTTAATTGTCAGAGGTATGTGCATCTCCCCCCATGGAGACTGCTCAGTATTCTACACTTTTCTGAGCTTTTATCAAATATAAATTAAAAAGGCCTCACAATTTGCCCCACTATTTCTGTTTTATTCTGTTATTCAGCTCTTGAAGTAATGACTACAGGAGTATCTGAAATCAATGCATTAATTCCCTGCTTCGTGCTCTTTAGAACCTTTTGTATTTCCATCATCAAGTGAAGGATCTCTCTCCCTGGTTCTGAATATTAAGCATGTCACCTTTTGTGGGCAGACTTGTCTCTCATCGCAAGGTACTTGGTAACCTTGCTGTGCCCTTCTCTGATGAGGATACGCAGTAAGTTTGAGTCCTTTTTGTCTCTTTGGTGGTGGTGTTGTCAGGGCCCCCTGGTGCTCCAGTGGGCGTGTTGGTGGGGGACATCACAGACAGGATTGCTCAGCTCTCGTGGGGCCCCGGACCTGACAACCACAGTCCCGTTACCCTCTACATCGTGCAAGCCAGGACCCCTTTCTCTATCGGCTGGCAGGCAGTCAAAACTGGTATAGGACTCTGTGTACTTTCTTGTCGAATCTGGTTTTATTTTAGAATCTGGTTATTTTTATTGTGATTGAACCACCCCTTACAAATTAAATGTAGTTTTTGGAAATATCAAGTCATATTATAATATTATGTTTAAGTCATATTATAATTTACAGTAGAAAAAAACTACATAAATTGACATTCCCAGAATTTTCACTTCAAATTTGTAAATTAAATGTAAATTTAAATGCATAAAATCTAAAATAAAATCTAAGATGTTGCTACAATATATATATATATATTAGGGATGTTCATTTCAGTTATTTTTCCTAACCGACAACTGACGCTTGTTAACCGATTATTAACCGTTAACTGACAAGATTATCCACTGTTAGAAGGAAAAAATTCAAGTGATTGCGCCATTATCACCGTACCGCCGTGATGTTATGAAAAGCATTTTGTTTTACATGGATATTGGAACGCGAGTGAAGTAGGCTACATAATAAATAATAATTTGCCATTCAAATACATCGCGAATACGGAAACATTTGATTTTGTGTCAAATGAGAGACCCAACGTTGGTTTCAGTTTCGTTTTGGCCTAAATGAATTCGTTTTGGCTTGTTGTTTATATTGCTATAGCTTCTTATATTTTTAAATTCTTGTTCTTTTCTAAATACTGTTAATTGAAAGGCTTTGTTGTGGAGTGAGGGGAACTAAAATAGCCTAGCTATGTTTACATTTACTATTATTATGTTTGTAAACATTTCGCATCGGTATTAGCCCTATTTCTGAATTAAATAATAAAATGTGACTTATACGGGACTTATGTTTTTTTCTCTAAAAAACAAAAAAAAATTATACGCGTAGCATATTTTAACCATGCAGCAAATCTTTTTAAATATTTTGATAAATTACAAAAAAAAAAAAAATTTTTATTTTTAAACCGTTTAACTGAATGTAATAATCGGTCAAAATTCTATACGGTCGTTTAATGGTTAACCGGTTAAAATGAACATCCCTAAATATATATATACAGGTGCATCTCAATAAATTAGAATATCGTGGAAAAGTTCATTTATTTCAGTAATTCAACTAAAATTGTGAAACTCGTGTATTAAATAAATTCAATGCACACAGACTGAAGTAGTTTAAGTCTTTGGTTCTTTTAATTGTGATGATTTTGGCTCACATTTAACAAAAACCCACCAATTCACATCTCAATAAATTAGAATACTTCATAAGACCAAAACAAAATCATCACAATTAAAAGAACCAAAGACTTAAACTACTTCAGTCTGTGTGCATTGAATTTATTTAATACACGAGTTTCACAATTTGAGTTGAATTACCGAAATAAATGAACTTTTCCACGACATTCTAATTTATTGAGATGTACCTGGATATATATATATATATATTTATATAGTTATATAGTTTTTTCACCGTAAATTTCACAGTTTTTTTTTTTCATTGTACTGTTAGCAGATGACAATACCATGGAACTTTGATGCTTTCTGTATACCATATTACCATATTCATATAATATGAAATTAATTGGCACAATGATATAGGAATAAACAAACAAAATATATTGACCTCTTTAGAAACTTTCTGTAATTGTGTTTTTTTCTCTCTCTCATTTATTTACTCATGTGGCACAATAATGTCTTCCTGTAATCTTAATTTGGGGGCTTTTCTTAAAAATGTTATTGATACAGGTGTGTGATTATTTGTGATCAGACAGACAGACAGACAGACAGACAGATAGATAGATAGATAGACCTCTGTTGATTCTGTTTTTATGACAATATTGTTGCAGGAAGCAACCGTTCATATTCTTTTTTGAGTGAGTCACTTAGATGTGATTCATGCAAATGCCTTTTTTAATACACTATGAAAGATAAAAAAAAGAAACACGCAATTGCTAAGATAGACCAAAACTAAATCTGCAGAAGTAATTGCAAAATAATTATGATAGGCTATTCATTTGTGCAGATGGCCATTGATGTGTTTTTCCATTCCAAATTTTCTTTAATCCTAGTTCCTGATTCTGTGCCTGGACAGATGATTCATGCAACGGCAGTGAATCTAAATCCGTGGGTAGATTATGAATTTAGAGTTGTGGCTATCAACAACGTGGGGGTGGGGGAACCCAGCGTGTCATCCAAACCCGTTCGCACCAAAGCTGCAGGTATGCATTCATCCCTCCCGATTCCATATCTGTCATCTCTAATACATCAGGAAGGAGAAAATGTAATTTAATTCTATAATTAGTTTAAATCACCGGGAGTGATTCCTCGTAATAGAGTTCAGGCATGAGAAATAAACACTCGTGCATTCACACCGGTTTACCTGGGAACATCCAAATTGCAAATAATTTACAGACAATTAGGACACAAATTAAGTGTGCTGAAATCGGAATTACATCACAGAAGGGCTGGCGTTTTTAGTTGATTAGTTTGAAACCGCAAGAAAATGTGGTTGCATGGAAATTTAGGGGGAAAAAAGTGTAGCTTACATAGCTGTTTTCTTTAAAGCAAAGGCCCAACCCTGCTGCACTCAGCAGCTGGACATCAGCAATCAGGAAATGCAGCTATCAATAATTCATGTCAACATCAACAAAAATTGAGTGGACTTCTTCCACATTCTATGAAGCAGTAACACTTGAAAGACTCTATTTTAAGCTCAGGTACTGTGTGCAAATGCTTTGATCACTGATTCACAAATAGATACAGGCTTCACACAATCCCAAGTGAAAAGGACATGCAAACAGCTGTTGTCTTAAAGATCCCAATTATTCAGCAAATAAAGCTTAGTTCATAAAGAGAGGCACTGCATTTACTAGGATTTTACAATATTTAACAGCAATATCTATACTGTGAAATCAAAGCTATAGATCATTTTCTGTCATAATTACTGATGAAAAGTTAACATATTGCACTGCACTGTGGGACAATAGTGTAAATAGTTATGAAGTGTACATAGTCATAATTATGGGTTATTAGTGTTCCCTTTGGCTGGGGAATTGGGCATTATTTACTTTTAATTTATTTTCATCCAGCTAGTGTAAATAAGTTACAATAGAACACTGTTAACACTATGAGAAAATAATATTTAGCAATATTTAGTTCACTCCTAATTTAACTTGCAATCTACACTATATGCATATGGATACATTATATATATATATACATTATATATATACTACAAAATAAACCAGCACATACTAAAAAAAACAAATGCAAATACGTAATTATTCATTATATGCACATTACATTAAAACATCTTAAACTAGCTTGAACTGGTTTGATTTGCTAGTCCTAAATTGGTTTAGTTGGTCTAACTGGTCTCCGACCCTGGCCAAGCTGGTGTTCAACTAAAAAGTGCACAAATCAACATTAAAACCAGGCTGAGAGACAGGCTAAGACCAGACAACCATTTTTCACCAGGAAACTGAAAATTCTGCAGGTTGTTACATTCTACCTCATTCAGATTCTTTGAACCATTTTGAAAAGACCATTGAGCCACACCTCATGGAAAGGAAGTGTTCGGATTTGCCGCTAATCCCACAGGTATAAATCCCGTTTCGTCTGTTCTGTTGTCTGTTCTCTGTTCTCTGTTTTGGCTGGCAGGTCCTGAAGTCGCCCCAGCTAACGTGAGTGGAGGGGGAGGAAGCCGAGGCGAACTCGTGATTGTTTGGGAGGTGAGCTCAGCATCTTTATTGTGACAGGAGCGTTTTCAAATCAGTCTTCTCTTGTGAATCGGATTCTGAGGGAATTCTCCACGGTGACGTGGTTTAAATTAGACAAGGTTTAATTAAAAGGTAAAGCGTTGTCGTCTTTGCTCTTTGCCTCAGTGGGATTGCTCCCTCTGGTATGTAAATCATAATGAAGACGCAGATATGAGACAGCTTTCATACCAGTAAATCTGTAAAACCAGAAATGACAATGTTTATCAATGGCTTTCTCGTAATCTCACCGGCTGTCACGACAGATATTCAGTGGCGTGTTTAAATACAGTATTACTTTCAAAATACGGCACATTTTTCACTAAGTCTAGAGGTTTCTTGACTGACACAGTAGTGCTTAAATCTGTCAAATTTATTTACTTAAATTCTGTGGATTTCAGATTATGGAAGCAACAATGTAAACCTACCACAGAAAATTACTTGTCAGCTTGCAGTAATGTAACGCCATGTCAGCTGAATGATTTTCCTTTAGTGCATTTTTGAGAGACTAATATTATTGCTGATACTTTGAACAACCCTATTACCCTATGAAGCTTTGTAAATCGCCCCACGTCGTTTGTGCTGCAGGCATGAGTGACGCCTCAAATCACAGGACTCATTGAGGAGAACAGCGCTTGCTATTGTTTTTTCAAAGCATTGGTTATGATGATAAAATTACTCATACAGTTAGCTATTGTGCTTGAATCTGATTGGTTGAGTGGTGTTACAAGCACGCTAATATAGTGCATTAGTGCCCGCGCACTTTTTCAGCAGCGTTGAATCCGGAAGTTTTTTTTTTTTTCATAGGAATTTTTAAAGAGTCTCTGTTTAAGCATAAGCTGTGAACTAAACCAACCAGCTACAAGGAGAATACAACATTATAAACTTAGCAACAAAGTATTTGAAAATTAGACAAATAGATAAGTGTACTTAAAGACTTAGTGAAGGAAAGAACTTCAATCCCATGAAGCATAGAGCTACAATTTCATAAAACAATGGTGAAATATAAAGCTATTCATTTAAAGTTGTTGATTATCTGTTTATATGTATACATGCATATATATACACACACACACACACACACACAATTATTTAGGTATTTTGAGAGTATAGGGATACTGAATTTATTACAGTATGTCACTCATGGTGCACCAAGAGAGAAGCTTTTTTTTTGGCATGATTTGCTGGACAAGACTATATGATTGTTGGAATTTTCTGCAATTCTAATTCTGGGTAATGTAGTTTTTCATCACAAATTCTGCTGTTAAACATGATTTGATCAGATTTTGGAAAAAAAATCTATATATATTTTAGTATTTAAATCTTTGTAATATTAAATATTTGTATGCATATTTTGTAACAAACAAAATGCTTAATGGGATTGTAGTTCTTTCCCTCATTAAAGCCATTTCAGGTGCTTTGGATGAAAGTGTCTGCCAAATGCATAACTGTAAATGTAAAAGCACCTTTTTATTAAGTAACAAAACAAGTGACTTCCTTTATTGAATCACATTACATTATTAAATTCTTATATTCTTTTCTCACAGTCTGTGCCGGAGGAGCTACAAAATGGAGAAAAGTTTGGATATGTGGTGGCATTTCGTCCCCTTGGCACCACAACATGGAAACAGAGCGTGTTGGCCTCAGCAGATGCATCACGATACATTTATAAAAATGATACTTTTCTGCCACTCACTCAGTTTAAAGTAAAAGTCGGCGTATACAATGAGATCGGAGAGGGACCGTTTAGCCCTGTGGTCATTGTATATTCAGCAGATGAAGGTTAATATGCTTGTGTTCTGTGTTGATTGTATGCAAATTGTGCAAGGACATTATTGGACATCGTTTAGGGATGACAAAAGTTGATGGATGCATTTCAAGTTTTAATTACACTCCCTCTACAGCTGTGTTAGTGCACTTTGATGGTAATTTCTTTATTCGCAAGTGTGCTAACAGCACAATTAGTTCTTGCAAACAGGTGGTACATTTAAGCACTAGAGACTGATGTTGGATGAATCCTGTAAACTGTCTGTTCTCATTACCTGTTGTTTTTCACTTACTTTCCTCATTTTTGAAATGTCTGACATTAACAGAACCTTCAGTAGCTCCTCCCAGAGTCTGGGCCCGCAGTTTGTCCGCATCTGAGATCGAGGTATTCTGGGAACCTGCTCACCAAAGCGGCAGCAAAGGACGGATAACAGGCTATGAGGTATTTAAACACCAAAAATGGAGGCAGGGAAAAAAGATGCTCTGATCTCACACTGCATCACCTCAATCAGATTCCTTAATGTATGCACTGCGCTGATGGCAGGGTGTGCAATTTCCTGTTCCCCAACAAGAGTCTGCGATCCCCCGGCCACATTTTTTACAATCTCATCTGCAGAATGAAGAGGTCTTCTCACAGCTGGTCCTGTCTCTCGGGGAGCGCCAATACCCAGGCTTTCTGGGCACTTATATAAATCACCTTTCAGATGTGTGGACATCATACATCAATTCCCCCTCCTGCAAACACTTCAGCTGCTAGGTCGTTTCTCACTGTGTGAGAAACCCACAGGATTCTGCCCATTTCTCTCCTTCCAAACTCCGTGAGAAATCCCAGGTCACACGGTTGTTCCGTGCTGAAACCACAAAGTCGTTCACAGCTTCGGGTAGTAAACCTTTCAGATGTGTGGACATCATACATCAATTCCCCCTCCTGCAAACACTTCAGCTGCTAGGTCGTTTCTCACTGTGTGAGAAACCCACAGGATTCTGCCCATTTCTCTCCTTCCAAACTCCGTGAGAAATCCCAGGTCACACGGTTGTTCCGTGCTGAAACCACAAAGTCGTTCACAGCTTCGGGTAGTAAAAAAAGCACATATGAAAATCCACAAATACTTCCAGAGTCACTTGCTGCAGTGTGCAGATGTTTATTGAACGTAGTAAAAAAAGAAACCGAGTCACAGTGACTTTGTCACAGAGTTAGTGTATTGAACGCTAATGCAGGAACAAAAATGACATTCTTCTCGAGTCGATTTCTTAGCTGTGAGGTTGGAAGCACACTTACTCAAGCAGAAACACCATGCCCATTCAAACATTAAAATTAATATGTGTGTGTGTGTGTGCGTGTGTGTGTGTGTATATATATATAGATATATATATAGATATAGATATATAGACTGGGCAGTCGTAGCCTACTGGATAGAGAGTCGGACTTGTAACCCGAAGGTCGTGGGTTTGAGTCTCAGGTCTGGCAGGAATTGTCGGTGGGGGGAGTGAATGTCCAGCGCTCTCTCCACCCTCAATACCACGACTGAGGTGAGACCCTTGAACAGGGGTCCAAAATCCCCAGGCGCCGCAGAATTGGCTGCCCACTGCTGCTGGTGTGTGTTCACGGTGTGTGTGTGCGTGTTTGTTCACTACTCACTGCTGTGTGTGTGCACTTGGATGGGTTAAATGCAGAGCACAAATTCCAAGTATGGGACACCGTACTTGGCCACATGTCACGTCACTTTCCTATATATGTATGCACATGCAAAGAGGCAGCAACAGGCTGCACAGAAATCAAACTCTACGATGGATCAGATGATGACTTACTAAATCGTGTTTATATCTTAAAAAAACATCATATGATGTTGCTAAAAAGAACATTATTTTGTGTATATGGTGTAATTAAATGTGTTTATGCAGTTTAAGGTTCAAAAAACATTATTTTCCACATACTGTACATTATTGTTTCTCCTCTATGCCCTGCCTTTCTGAAACGCGTTGATTTTTACAAAGCTCATCAGTCTGAAAAGCGAGGTGTGCTGTGATTGGCCAGCTATCCAGTGCGTTGTGATTGGCCGACTACCTCAAGCGTGTGACAGAAATGTTACGCCCCTCTCCATACTGTGATGCCCTGTCCGGCCGGAGCGATGATACAAAAACATGAAAACCGATTATAAACGAGGCATTCGTTGCATCCAGTGAGGACATAATTATGGATTATAATGA